TTCTGAGGCATTGGAGGGTTTCCGCCGTAACATGATGCTCAGAGGGGGCCGATTTTAATCGAGGAACACACAATTGGAGCTGTGGCGGTCTGAAACTTGTGCTGAGCCTACACCAACGCCTGTCACTCTTACTGTCAGAGCGGCTCACAAAAGCACCCAGAGGAGGAAGAAAGAGAAAAAAAAAACTTCTTTCTCTCTGCTCTGCTGAGTGGAGAACTGTGAGTGAGAGGAAGTCACATGACCAGACAGGAACTTCTTTTTTTTTCAGGGGTAGGATTTGGTCGACCAAGTGGTTTTATACCTGTGTAAAACAAATCTATATGAGAGCACTTGAACAAAGGCATTGCTTATCTGGAGTTTCTTCAAAAGACATCACACCATCACTAATGTCCTCGTGTCCCAGGTGTTTCGTAAACTGTTATGAGAGGTAGTTCCTGTGTTGTATGCAACAACACGAGAAATGTTCTTGCATTGCCATCCTTTTTCCCTAGCAGAATAAACATTCATAGTCACTTGATTAATCTTGCCTTTTTTGGCGTGACAGAAAAGGCAGAACAAGTGAGCTCTTGCATCTAGCTTGCAAAACAAAGCCAGGCCAGGGAAACTTCACAGTTTCAGAGGTGACTCATTCTGTGCGTAAAATGACTTCAAGTTTTCAAAATTCATCTACTCCTACGTCTTCCACATGCACTAAGGGACAAAAAGACTGAGGTGCAGGTTGTTAGACTGAGCTACTTTTTTTTCATCTCCACATTAATGGAGGCAGGAATACAACTTCACTATCATCACTGCATGATAACCAGTCACTGGAACAAGCCTACAAATTGAAAGCTCTATTAGTTTATATGGTCATTCTGTCAGTGCTTGTCTGACATTTGATTACTGCAATGTAATGAACTGATGTAAATGTACAGAGGAAACACTTATAGCAATCTACTGTATTCCTTAAATACTGCAAATGCTGCAAAAATGGTGCATTTTGGCAAGTACAGGTCAAGCTTCTTGTCAGACAACAGTAATTAACTGTTATTTGCACAGCATACTGGGAAAGTGAGCAGGACTTTTTCAGTATTGAGCAGCCTGTCTTTGAATATTGTACTGACAGGTGTGGAGCTTCCCAGCATTCCAAAGATTTTGTTAGTATTTGTTAATATTCTTTTATTTTGATGTGACATGTTGACATGTTCGGGTATTCCATCCATGATCAGCAGTCAAGTTCATTTATTTATTCCAGTCATCATGCCCCTCTAAAACCACTATGCTGTACATATGTAGTGTCAAGTGGCCAAAAAAAACATATATATACAGATAAGGTCAAAATTATTAACCCCCAAGGAGAACATTTTCCTAAGATTCTGTCCAATGTTAACATAATTCAGTAAAACATTCATCAGTGTAAAGGCCCCAATTTGGTACATTTTGGATGATGACTGGAAGTTGATCCAAAACTTTTTGAAGGACACCAAAATCAAGATCCTGGAGTGGCCCTCTCAAAGCCCAGATCTCAATCCTATAGAGAATCTGTAGTGGGAGCTCAAGGTTAAGGTCTATGCTTGAAAACCATGTGATTTGGATGAGCTGGAACAATTTGCCATGGAGGAATGGGCTGAGATCCCTCAAGAGACATGTACCAACCTAGTTAGGAACTACAGTAAAAAGGTTCCTGTCAGTTGTGAGCCAGAAAGGTTACACTATTGACTATTAGTTGTCAGAGGGCTAACAGTTTTGGCTTTGTCATTTCAGTTTTTGTTTCAACTCAGTGCATCAGTAAAATTCTGTCATCAAACTTTGCAGAGATTTTGTTTTTATACTTTTGGAAGTAATTATACTATAAACACTTTTGGTACTGGTCATTTCCTAGGAAAAAGTAAGGGTTTGTTTGGTTTCATTAAGTGGGCTAGTAATATATATGTGTACATCGACGCATTCATGCAACTTATCAGTCAGTTGTGTTGCAGCAGATACAGGCCAGCAGCTTCAGGTAATGTTCACATCAATCATCGGAATGGGGAAAAAAGTGACCTCAGTTATTTTGACCATGGCATGAATTTGAGTATTTGAGTATTTCTTCAATTGCTTCATACACAACAGTCTCTGGAATGGTTTAATAAAGAAAAATCATCTAGTGAGCAACAGTTCTGAGGATGGAAACGCCCTGTTGATGAGAGTGGTCAGCAGCGAATGTAGAATTGTAGTGAGCAGAAAAGCATCTCAGAATGCACAACATGTTGAACTTTGAGGCGGATGGGCTACAACAGCAGAAGACCATATCAGATTCTACTTCTGTAAGCCTAGAACAGAAAGCTGCAGTGGGCACAGGCTCACCAAAACTGGACAGTTGAAGACAGTAGGGACAGAAAGCATCAATCCATGGACCCCACCTGCCTTGTGTCAACAGTCCAGACTGGTAGAGGTGGTGTAATTGTGTGGTGAATGTTTTCCTGGCACACTTTGGGCCCATTGTTACCATTTAATCATTGCTTGAATGCCATTATGTAGGGACCCAGTATTAGTATACAGTATAGTATAGTGTTGAAGTGCTCTGTGAGTGTGTGCATGTGTGTGGTGCATTTTATGTTCCTCAGTTTTTGTTTCCTTCTGTTGTGAGGATGTGCTGGATGGTGTGGTTTTTGTTCAGGTTTTTTTGTGCAGTGCAAACAAAAGCGTTCAGAAGCTTATCTATTTTGAAACTTGGCCATCATAGAGTAGGTGACTGTAACCTAAACAATATGTGACCCGTTACAGGAGCCATCAGACCACAAAGCAGCCTTCGAGAAGCCACAGATGGGGCTCATTCTGCATACAGTTACATGAGTTTCTATAACTAAATGTTCAACAGACATAGGCTTTCAAATGCATGTGGCTCTTGCCTTTTGGTAGACAACAAGCAAGAACTGCATAAACAGATGACAGAGGAAGTCCCTGTGCATGTGTGTGTGTGTGTGTGTGTGTTGGCACAGAGAGTTATTTTTGTTCAGCCGGCCACATGATGTGTAGACGCCCTCATTGTGGGTCAGGGGTATCCTTTAGTGTAAGCGTAAGTAATCTGCTCCAGCGTAATCAAGGAGAGCACATACATTCATTCTGTGACCACACAACAACATTCAATTTGAAAGGAAAAGAAGGTGATTTAGAAACTGTGGATAGTTCTCTTCAGCCATCAGCCCTACAGGATGATCTCATCCATCACAACATCTGCTTTTGCCTAGCGAAGTTCCTCACCCAGTCAGAGCCACCCTCATTGAAAAACGGAATTGTGAAAACACTTATATTCTATTGACCTTAATGGCCTTCGTGTAAGACACGCAAACCGCTCTCTCTCATCCTGTTGTTCAAAGGCAAACAAAAAAGTGTGCAGACAGAAACAGAGAGAGAGAGAGAGAGAGAGAGAGAGAGAGAGAGAGAGAGAGAGAGAAAGATAGTGCAGACACCCTGAAAACCACATTCACACCTTCCTGCAACTCTGACAGAAATGTTGCCAAGCAACAGGACCTTCGCTGGCATGAGCACTTCACTTGTGGCAGAGGCAACAAACCTCAAGAGCTACAAAAAGAGTTATGGAGCCGGGTTTAGACTTTTAAATCGAACTGTGAAAACATGCTCCTTTCAAAGCACACCCATCTCTATGACTCATTATATTGATCTCTGCTACTTTAGCTCACAGAAAAAGAAAGAGAAAAATCTTGGTATATTGACTGCAATCATTTCCGCTGGTATGGTCTGTGAGTATGGGTCAGAAGGTTAATTGCAAACCACTTTCAAAGATGCTTTGATTATCTTTTATCCAAGAATAGACATTTCTTCTATCATCTATGCCAGACATGCATATATAAGACCAAGATGAAGATACAATCTTATTTTAATAAATTATCAATCAGCAGTGATTGTCAGTGGATCTGACTTTGCACACATTTTGAAAATACAAACACATTCACCACACAGATACATGGCACAGGCACTGTAGCTCTGAAAAAAGATTTCTTTTGCATGTGTCACGGGGTTAAAAATAGGCCTGGCAGCTGCACTGGAAAAGATGAAGAAGTATTTCACTTGGGAGGAATAGACTGCACTAATTTGTGTGCTCATGATCTAAAACTCATTTTCGTGTGAACTGTCAGGGTAGATCCATTGCAAAAATATGCTAAATATCCACAAAAGCTTTCAGTTGCAATTTCTTATTGTGAAGAGGTAAAATGACAGCCTGCACTCAAGCAACTCCACAAGTTTGTGAAAAAGCATTTGATAAGTAGATCTGAGGGTCAACTGAACATGAGCTTCAATGACAGAGTTAAAATAAAAATGTGAAAATTGACTTAAATATTTAAATATTTTCTTTTTTTTGTGTTTTTTTGAGTTTAACATATTAAAAAAAAAATAAAACATAGAATGTAAAATGTGTCATTACATTTTCACAGGCCACATTTTATGTTTTAAATATGTCATATTTAGCAAATAAAGTTTTAAATGTGCAGAATTGTGTTCTCTGTAGAGGATGAGTTCACTTATTATAACCTAGATGATCACCAAAACATGCCCAAAATTTGTATACATGTATGTATTTATAACATAAATAAAAATCTAACGTAATCTCTCTTTAGGGTTTAGTAAAGGTCAGTAAACATTTTTATTATTGCCACGGCTCTTTGGGTCCCCTACAATGATTAAGAACAGAAAACCTGGTGATTTAAAACACGCTTATAATGGAAGCTATCGGGTACTTTCTTCAGCTTCTGCCTATTCTATTATCAGTGTCTTCTGAGTCAACGACTTTCCTGTTCTTTCACTAAGTACAGAGGAATGCATCTAAATGCGACAGCTGAAGGTCAGAAAAACACAGTATTCCACCCACTGAAAGTTTCTTTGGGGGAACAAAGGACAGTTCTTTTATTATTCTAAGGAACCCTTTTGGTGGCTTATTTTTAAGAATGCATTTGTACATTATTTGTAACTCAATATCTGTGATTGGGGAAATGAACTGGTAATGATATTGATATTGAGCTTGTTCACCACTGAAGCTGTAGACCTTCCACAGCAGGTGGTGGGGTGGCCTGGGCAGGGCTGGAGTGGTGGCGGTTGTTTTTTGGACAGGCTTGGAGGAGTGCTTTGGTGTAGATGCACAAGTTCTGCTCTCAGGAGGTTTTACATTAAGGCCATGGGCAGAAGCAGTAGCAGCAGTGAGATGGAGGAGACGACAGCGGAGGCTCCATCTTTTAGGAAGGGCTCTGTATTCTCTATCATCCAATCATACACCTCCGTCAGGCCCTGACTCTTCAGTTCTGGACCCACTTTATCCCGGATGACCCGGTAGTACGAGTCTAGCCACACGAGCTACAGCAAATGGGAACATTACAATTAATAGCCAATAATAGTAATAGGTAATAGCCTACCTCCTATAGTTCTATGGTATAGAACTCATGAAATATTTGTTAGTATCTTACATCACTCACATCAAGTAATACGACCACATCCCTTCCTCATTTTGTTACACAGATTATACACTGCATTACAGTAAGCTTACTTATTCATTGCATATTTACAAGAAAAATCATGCTGCACCCAGCTAGAAACACAAGTTTAACCCCTTAAATTTCCAAGGCTGATCGGTGAGCACAAAGCTTTATTGCACACTTTTATAACCTAAGAATAGCTCCGCCAGTTTGCACTGAAGTCCCTGTAGTTACTGAATAATAAGCCTTTGTATGCAATAAGACTGGGATTTTAACGGGTTAAAAAAGCAGGTACTGCTCAGCTAAGCAAATAAACACATGCCTGTTCAAGAAGCACTCTTCTGCAGATACGCTTGAGATGTATTACCGGGGAAGGATGTGAAGGGGGACTTTCAAAGGAAACTTGCTCTAATTAGCACTAAGCAATCCTTGCACCTACAGTGGCACAAACAATGTTTTACACAACAGCATCATAAGTGGGGGATGTTTCATTACCTGTTCAAGGCTGAGAATTGTAGTGTTAATCAGCTTTCTGTCATACGGGACCAGTGACACAGTTTCGAACGTCAGGTAATTATTACCATGCTGGGAAATAAAAGAAAGAAAATCAGCACCTCTTTAAATTCAACTGTAGTCCTTAAATTAGTTTGTACTTTGTCTATGTAACAGTGAGTCTTCTATGAGCTTCACTTACTTCTGTTTTAATTGGCCTAGTGAGAGCAATATCCTCAATTCTTATTCCAAAATCGTTCTCCTTATAGTAACCCGGTTCTGTATAAGAGGAAAAAATTTCCTTTAGTTTTGACTTAAACATTGTCATTACTGCTCTGAGTCAGCTATAGTGACAATGTTCGTTTGAATCCTTTTTCTTTCTGTGTGTGTGTTTTTTAATACTAAATCTTAGTCTGTTAGGGGCAGGGGATAAACTGGGCCAAAATGCACAAGAATGGCACTGGCTCCTTTGCATTATGTGAAAGGCAAGTAGCTCTTCGCCTGTCATTTCAATAGAACAAATCAATAAAAAAAGTAAAATAAGTTATATTGTATTCTTTGTTTAATCAATTGAACTATTCTATGAAATAAACAGTGTTAAAAGACAACTTCTAAACAACAAAACATGCCCATCACCCCTCCTCTTAAATTTGTTGACCTAAATTTAATTTAAATTTAAATGCAAAAGCAATCTAGGAGGAAACACTCCACATAACCTCTGCGTGAATAGGCGGGGCTAAACTGCTGTAGCCAGAACAGGCAGATAGATCTAAACGCTTGGGTTTTAATGACATCCCAATGACAGTGAATTCAAAACGGACTGTTTTTGCAACTAAGCTTTCCACATACAGACCATTTGGAGTGGGGAGTGAACGGTATGTTTTGAAACTTTAACAATGTGTGACAGTTTGGGGTGTCTATCAGATATTGAACTGTCTCTAGAACTTTAAATATTTTTAAACTCTAGTTTTGGAAATTCTTTTTGTGAATTTTCCTTTGATTTTCCCCTTCTTTATGCAAGTTGATTATCTTGCATCAAATCTTGTAAATATCTTCTTTAGCTATTTTAGATGCACATAAGAAAAGAGGTAGCTAAGGTATGTTTGGGTAGTTGCATGGGTGAATGTTAGTGTCTCTTTGAAGGGCCATATAAGTGACTCTTTTGGGAACAGCTTTTGTTGGGAGGACACAGCTATAACTCATTGGTTTTGAAACTGGAAGGATGGAAAAGTTCAAGTGGCAAAAGTAAAGCGTTGACAAATTAAATACTGATAGATCTGATATTATACTGGGTTGGATGCATCTGTGTATTTTTCTATTAAATATATGTTTGCTGCTTTTTCTTACATTCTTACATTATATAAATGAAAATAAACAAAAAGTGGTTGACTTTTGCACTGTAAAATATTAATAAGGTGAGAAGATCAGAATGTTCAACAGATTTTTGTTCTGTTAACAGACTATTAAAAGTTCAATGAAGTCATTTTTAAAGAAACCAGGTTACTTGATTTTTCAGTTAAAACAGCAAATCATTCTTACAGTGTGTAAATATACAGACTAGTTTTACATTTTTATGATATCAGTGCTGAGAACTCCATATAACACCTTAATTGAGCAACATTGTTCACATGTTATTGGCATTCAGGAAAGACATCTCTCACTTCTCTTAAATGTCACTCTAACCTCTGATTTTGGCCATCATATTTCAAACATTTTCTTTTTTATAAAATATGTTACTGGTAGTGAGTTTTATATATACAAGAAATATTAATGCTACATTATGAGTACTAGCACCTTTATATCCTTTCTTTTTTCCTTTAAGATCAGTTGTTATTCTTTTCAAAAACTCATACTATTCAATTTTTTTATCAATGGATATATAGCACTTTGGAATGAAACTCTTCATATGTAAAATGCTTTTATAAGCCACAATCTAATGTCTTACCAATGGACGTAAACATGCCTTCTTGAAATGGAATATTATTGGACTGAAAGCCAACAGGCCCTATGAAGAAGGATATGAAAACATGTCAGATTATGAGATTGAAGGTGTGAGTGAAGAACAGCTGTTACATCCCTGTTACTACAGCATCACTACAGAGTGCAAATAGCATCACAAACAAACTTCCTCACTGTGAGATCAATTGATACAAGTGAATTGTAACAAAAGAAAAACCCATTAAAGCAGAAGTCCTACATTCGTGAACACCAAAGTAGTTTCCCACACCGTGACCTGTAGCGTGACCGTAATTCAGGCCAGCTTCCCACAGTGCTCTGCGGCCAAGCATCTCGATGTTGACACCTTTGAGAAAAAAAGTGCTGATGAGTCACTTGTGATGCTACTTTAAGGTCAGTGAGTAAAACTGCTGACTAGAGGGAGACCTCTTGTGGGAGAACAGCAGCAGGTTGTGTGCATGTGAGTGTTGGACAGAGAGTGAGAAAAAGACAGAGAGTCTTGCCTTTGGTCCCTGCTGGAAAGATGGTCCTTGAAATTTCAATGTTTCCCTTCAGCACCCTTGTGAAGGCATCCTTTGGAATTAGAATGAACAGAAAAAAGTTATTACCTCCATTTTGGATTGATAATACAGTAGTTCACTTGAAATCTTCTCTAGTCTTTTACTGAACAGTACCTTCTGAAAGGCAGTGGGTTTACCCCAGTGCACAGTGCGGGTAATGTCGGTTGTACCATCGCTGAAACATAAATTTATATGGTTAAGTGACAGTGAGTTGATATTAGAGGTCTGTTACTCAAAATTTCGGGTTTTGGGTCGGGTTTGGGCCGACTTTTTATGTGGAACACTGGGCTTGTGCTGGGCTCACTTTCTAATGAGTGATATATTTTATATATTAGATTTTGCACACACTTCTCTCTTGTGCTCTCTCTCTCTCTCTCTCTCTCTCTCTCTCTCCCATAATATTAGTTGCTTTTAGAATTAGAGTTGCTCAAAGTGTGTTAAGCATATCTGCAGCAGTAATGTGAGTAGCCGCAGTAGTGAGAGGAAGTTTAGTACAGCAGGGTTAACAGTTGATCAGGTGAGCGTGGATGCTATTTCCCGCCAGATACGATCAGCAATTCCACAAAAATTTACAGGTAATAAATACTTTTAGCAGGGATGGATTACTGACTGGGCCTCTGATTGCGAGGGGCCTTGGGGGGGGCCAGAGACCCCTAGGCCCAAGGAGGCTTGAAGACCCGGTCCAGTCCACTGCAGATGCAAAATAAACAAACATATCGAAAACGTAATGACTAAAGAAACAAAATTAAAGCCCCTTAGCCTATACCCTGCCATTACGTTTAAAATGACTTAAAGTCCCTAACCCTAAACATAACTCCAAAGTTATATAGAAATATAACTATGTAGGAAATAATAGGCAACTGCACATTGATTGAGGATGAATTATTCTGTTTACACTGCATTTTTTCAAGTGCTTTTCATCATTATGTTGATCGTCATGTGTCAGATTGGGAGGGGCCTCTAAAGTCGATTGTTGCCAGGGGCCCGCCTCTGGCTGTATTACAGACATACCAGTTAATCCCAGAATGACATTTTTTTGTCGCTCAATTCAAGCACTTAGTAAGAAAGCAAAGCTCAGTAAAAATGTCTCTGCAATAGTCCATCTCTCTTAGTAATAGCGTGGGTTAGAGTTGGGTTTGGTTTTTTTTTTAATTTAACAGTACCAATCGGGACGGGTTCCGTTGGGTTCTGGCCTTCAATTTTATCCAGTGCAGACCTCTAGTTGGTAGTAAGTTTGCAGATCAAAAAATGTAATGTCATACTCACAGGTACTGTCCTCCTGAGTCAACAAGATACATCTCATCCATTCTCAGCTGTCTTGCAGTTTCTTCAGATGGGCTGAAATACAGCACAATAAGAGGAACTTAGCATGCAGATGGGAAGAGAGTATAAAGGCTGAATTATACTTCAGTGTTTTCATATCTGCAAACATGTGGACATCATGCACAGACGTTCACAAGGGTGCCTGCAAACATACTTGCACGTAATGTAAATGTGTGCACTAAGGGGCAGTGTCTAATCCAGAATATACAGAACACATGTTGCGCTTTTCCTCTCTCTCCAGGAATTAATACTTGATCAACTGTTTATGTAATACTTTGAAGAGGGGTCATGTGTTTGCAACGTCGCACCTCTTCTGCCAGCTGATCCTCAAACAACTTGGTTTGATTTAACAATAGCTCTGTGCACCTCATGGCCTCTGAGATCCTGTGTAAGCTATGCTTACCTATGAATTCCTCAGCATCTTGATGCAGACATGCTTGTATGCGTCTTGGCAGAGGTATAAATTAGGATTAAGAAGGACTGGAGAAAGAGGATGCCAGCTGTATTGGTTTTATCTCTGTCCCAGTACTTAAAATTTGTAATGAGGCGGCAGGATTTTAGTGTATTTACATTTCTAAATTGCTAAACAAAGTCTTTTGTGGAACTTTGTTTCCCTGGTCATCTAGTCAGTACTCAGTAAGTGTGCAGTTAAAAGTGTCTTTGTACTTTGAAGTGGGATTTTTTTTAATCTGCATAATTCATAATATTTTTTTTTTGTCTTTGTACTTCAAGCTAAATTGTATGCCATGTCTGTGCTAATGCTAACACTAGCAGGCCACATTTTTGTTTAGATTTGTTCAAAACGGTTATATTTACAGAAGCAACATTATTCCACATTCCAGAAAGGCAAAGGAGAAGGAAAGCTAAAGGCTACATGAGGCTACATTCCAGAGATTTGACTTTTTATTCCCTAGCTCACCTTTTTGGCATCAAGCTACAGGACACTGTTCATCTGAAATGAGACAGTTTAACTAATTTAGCTTTTTTGTTTTTCTGGACTTTTCTCTATTTTGAGTAAGGCTCCAAGCAAGGTTTCTATCTCTCCCCCTTTTCTTCTTCTTAGTGAATAATTGTTTGTCTGCATTAACCTAACATGCACTGTATGTTCAAATTGTCAGTACTTTATTAATACTAATTTAAATGGTGTATTTATATATACATTTATCTTTAGCATGTAGCGCTTGTAGGCCAGGACAGTCGTTCATTGTGTTTCATGCAGGCTTAGTGGGAAAATGGCCTGTAAGGCTTTTAACAATGAATTCCGTACCTGTAATGAGCAAGAGCAGCATTAGGTCCACTTGCAGAAATGGTCTCAAAGCTCGGCCCCCTGCTGTACTTTTGTTTGCTGGTGGGACACAGATAGGGGCACGCATTACAAATCCCTAACCCTAATCACCTATCAGTTCATTCACCAAGCATATTGATGGTACTACAATTGCACAATTCACTTAGAAACATCTACCTTCTACTCTCTGTCCACTTTATGTGGTCAATTTACCTTACAGGTCCATTAAATAGGTATGCAGTTTCACACTGTAGCCCATCTACATATTTTTTCAGCCACTTCCTACTTCTTTCATCACCCTCCTTTTGGAGCACAGGCAGTGGATCATTCTCAGTGAGTGCGGTGCGGTGACACTGACACGGCCCTGGCATGGTAGTGTATGTGTGGTGTTGGTAACAGTGTGACAGGCACAGCAGTGTCACTGTTGGGTTTAAAGTGATCCAGCCAAGACTGGTTCTGTAGTCAGAAAGTGACCTTTGATGAAGGGCTTGGGAATGGTTAATGTAAATTGTGGTGAGCTCTGTGTGAAGATGAGCTACAGTCTCTAACTGTACACTAGGTGGACTTACAAGGCAGGGGTTACTAATGAAGTGACCAGCAATAGAGTGCATATACAAATACGTATATGAAAACATGCAGAAGTTTGAATACACCTGGTCCAATTACACATTCTGTTGATTTTCAAACAAGGTAACAAACTTAAATATGCCATTTGTCAGCAAATTTTAGTGCACAATTTCTAATTATTTGCAGAGATTAACACTTAAAAAAAGAAAACAAACTATAAAATGTGTCATAACTTTCGCAAAAAAGGCCACATTTTAGGTTTTTTATGTTAAATTCAGCAAATAATCAGTAAGTGTCCATTAAAATTTGCTGAAGTGTGTTCCAGTAGAGGATGTGTTCACTTTATTTTCATTTAGAAAATCAACAAAACATGTCAATCAACCAGGGGTGGTGCAAATTTTGCACACAGTGGTATATAAACCTACTTATAAAAAACAAAACTGAGAAAATATGTATCAGAAAGAGTGAAAGCTGGTAGTGAATATGTGAAATATGAGACGTGAAAGGGTTTTTAGATGTTAATGTGGGGCCAACTGTTCCCTACCTGCGACACTCATTGACAAATTCTGCTGCAGTGAGCTCTGTCTCCCTGCCCTCAGGCACAGCTCTTTCCAGGTGGTGTAGGAGCTGCATGACCGCTACTGCGTCCCTTATCTACGACAAGACAGTAAACACACACAGAGCACAATGAGAGAATGAGTACTCATCTTATTCTTGTCAAAAGATACAGTTACCACTGAGTATTAATAAATCTACTAGTATAAGACCATCCAGCTGCCGGGCTGAAGGGGTTTAATTGAATCCGGTCAGTCATGCAGTGTTTCCAGGTCATAAAGCAACAGCATACAGGTGCTCAGCTCATCTTGAAATGGAAAATGGAATTTTGTCTTTATGAGATAAAACGCTCATAAAGAATGTGCTGATGGGATACAGAATACAAGCCACAACATCAATAAAAAGTTTCAGTGCATAAAAAAAAGATTATGTGATAAGAACTGACTGCTGTGGTCAGTGTTCTCCTTTGGTTTTATGGCATGATAAAACATCACTCAATAACTCAGAGATAAGGACAGCTTTGGATATTTTCCTTTGCAGCATGTGAGTCAAGTGTATGAGTGCACCAAATAAGGTGACATGAGGAGTGACTGTATGTTTCCTTACGTGAGCATCTCTAAGGATCTTCTGCTCTGTATCGTCCTTAACCGCTTTAGTGGTCAGCACTGGAGAGTAAGTGCTTTGCAGGAGTTTCTCCTAGAAGAGAAAAGGGTATGTATTTGTATGTGAATGGTTTACCAGGCCTGGCTAGTGATCCATCATAAGAGTCATCAGCTAAGATAAACTTGATGGTGTAGTTCAGTTTGGTGCAAAGTCCAAATAAGTTCAGAATTATTTAAATAAGTATACCTTATGCTAGGATTTCAAGTCACTCTGACATAAGGCCACAATCAGGGATTTCAGAACAACAAAGTAACACTAAATATTAAAAAATGAAGGCTATGTTCATTTTCCAAGGTTGAAGAGGCACAATCACAGCAAAGCTAGTAATGTTTGCCATGAAGGCTTGTGCTGCTAGTCCGAATTTTTTTTTGTTACATTTGTTTATGATGCAGGCAGATCATTCACGCAACGTTATTGATGAGGATGGAATAGGATGTGTACGTCCTGGTCATTTCAGGGCATATTACAGGCAGACTGTACAAGCACATATGTGAAACAGAGATAGAAAGGTTAAATTAGAACTGATCAATTAGGATTGTAATTGACCATGTTGAATAACAACTAGCTATAAAAGTCATTTATGATTTTTTTTGTGGTGCCATGAACTTTTTTTCATGGCAGGAAACTTTTTATTTCCCAAGTTTATTTCCCATCAGACTTGTTAAAAACAGTAAACACAAATGCATATACATGGATTTGATGAGAGTGTAACAAATTTTGATAGTTGTGGCCATCTTAGTGTATAAAAAAGGCAGATTCAAGTATCCCTAAAGTTAAAACATAGTCTAAAACTACAGCACATCCTAAAATTGCAGACACAGAATTACTGGCTCACTGAGTCTGGAATTATTTGATAATCTGCTGTTGTGTGGGTTGCTAGGCCCTGGTCTGACAGCAGCTGTGTAAAATTAGTCAGGTCTTACCTCTGGAGTGATGAGCTCATACAGGGCTTGGTTAGTGTATTCTGTGCCCACCCACACCCTTACACCGGGCTCCTCCAGGTACTCCATCAGCTGTTCGCGAACAGAGTCATAATTAAGCAGCTTCACACAGTGCGAAGTGTCGCAGGAAGAGTTCAAGTACACCCTCAGCTCTTCTGTCACTCTCTCAGTGTGCACAAAGAGCCTTTGAAAGAGGGGCATAGTACTGGTGGTCACAATAAGTTAGTTTGTGCATTTCACTTAAAGGTTTGGAAAAGCAGAAATATGAAAGAAGAAATAGTCAACTTGCCATATCTTATCAAATGTCAGCAGAGTGTAGGAGTAAAAGAATGGGTTGAAGGGGATGTCATTACCACGCAGGTTAAAGAGCCCTGAAATGACAGAAAGCATTCTAATGAAAACATTCACAAGAAGGTCCAAATCATTTATCGGGCATTTCAAATAAGAAGTACCGGAAGGTGTCTCTTACATGCTTGTCTAGTAGGACACTAAAAAAATCTTGCATTGAATTTACTTCAATTGTATACATCATTTGTACATTTTTATATAAACAATTGTGTCCAAAAGTGCTCATCCAATGTTTCTTCTGAAATCAAGGCTGTTCATTTTTTGTTTACCCTTTGCTGCAGGGCTCATCTGGGAGGGCTTTACACTAGATACTGTAACATTGCTGTGAGGATTTGACAACTGTCAGCCACAAGAGCATTAGTGAGGTCAGGTACGTCATCCATAAGGCGTTGAATGAAGCTCCATCACTCCATAGAACTCAGTTCCACTGCTCCTCAGCCCAATGCTGTGAGGCTTCATACCCTTCTTGCCGAGATTTGGCATTGAGCATGGTTATTAATGTGTACATGATGTACAGATTTGAATCAAGTTAATTTAATCCATTCCTTTTTTCAAAGTAGCAAATCCAAGTGATTGGACTTGTGATTTAATCTTGAAGACATTTTGTCACTCATCCAAGGGACTTCATCATACCTGAGATAGGAACTGATGAACATCTTCAAGATTACACCACAGATCCAGTCACCTTGATTTACTGCTAGATGATTCAATGACCTGAGTGACTGAAAACCTTCCCAGATACCACTTACATGCTGTTTCATCCAAAGCTGAGAGCAGGAGAGCAGTGGGCTTGTAAGCGTTGTCCATCATCTGGCCTCGTATCTGGTCCACCTTGTTTTGCCAGGTCCTTTCTGTTGACCCGCATGTAAAACACAGAAAGATACACAAATACTCAGTGCCTTACAAATCTACATAAACTTTACAACCACTCTATTACCTTCCTTTCCATTCAGAATTAAACAGCCCATGAGCGAGTAAATACACCAAATACAACAGCCCTTATCCTTACAGCCATATGCCATTGTTATTACTTTAAGTAATAATGTTCATGGGAGCTTTATAGCCGTTGTGATAAGTGAATGCTTCTCTGTTTTCTGTTTGCAGGTATTTATCAGCAGAGTGATAAGCAGCCGGTGATAGAAGGCTCACACACACACACACACCGATGAATTCATCTGGTAAGCGAGTGAGGCTATCAGGAGGGAGAGACGGTCGCTCGGACCATATTTCATCCACCAGGTTATCAGGGATAGACGTAAGGATCCGTTTAGCTGGAGCCAGCTTGGTGTTGTAGGCAGCAAATGTGTCTGTATTGACAAAGAGCAATGATCCAGTAAGATGTTGTCCTTGGTTACTGGATCAATTAACGTTGAGTACAAATCCATATACAACAACAATATATAAGAAACTAGTGTACTTTGGAAGAGTCTGCTTCATAGTTCTAGGAAGGAGAAAGCCTGTTTGCTGCTACTTACCTACAGAGAAGAGGAATGGATCAAAGCCCACCTCATCTCCCTCCTTTGTTTCTTTGATGAGCCAGTTGGTGATGCTGGAGATAGAGACTGTGTTCCAGTACAGTTAGATCAAATTTATCCTTGCAGCTTTTATTTCATCCTACACACTGTCTCAGGCCTAGCTAAGGGCGAAAATTGTTCCTGATAACAGGACTGATAAACATTACAAATTGTGCCTGATTAACATTAGAAGATGTTATAGAGAAAACAATTCACAAATAAAGTCACCAGCAAATGTTTCCTGACTTTCTAATCTAGTTATCATTATATTAGGACACTTTCCCCTATCCCTCCATATATTTAGTGCATAAAGTAATCCCTGGCACATTCAGATTAGCACACTTTGCTGACTTTGACACACAGTTTCTGTGTCTACCGTTTTACTTGCCATCTCGTTCCAGTTCCCAATTGCAGTCCATCTGGCGCTCTGCTTGAACCCAGTAGCGACTGTCAGTCCATAAGACTGCTTTGTCCTGGGTCACAACTGCCGTACCTTCAGAGAGAAGAAGAGTGCTGTTTATATGTCATTTATAATTCTTTTATCCAAGATATAAAACTCTGTTTGCATTTACTGTTTTAAACACTGTTTGCACTATTAACCCTGTTTGCAAATACGGGTATGAAATTGTACATTACAGCTTCACACAAGGGACAGTTGCTTGGCTCACAGATCAAGACAGCAAGAATCACATCAAAGTATAACTGAGGATGAAAAAATAACATTATATAAAAACCTGCATAGAAACATACCTGCAGAGCCAGAGAAGCCAGACATCCAGGCCAACCTGGCATCGCGAGGGGCAATGTACTCACTCTGCAAGCAAACAACCAAGAAGCCATGCATGAGATCATGCAAAAGAAAGAACAGAGGACAGATGAGGAAAAGAGAGGAAAAGATAGGAATGGAAAGGGAAAAAGGAGATGAAGGGAGACAAAAGGGAAAGGAGAGGAAACAAAAGTAAACTAAAGGGAAGAGAGAGGAAAGGAAAGGAACAAGGAAAATATAGGAGATGAGTTTTGGTACCAGGTGTGCATCTGTTCCAGGTATGATGTAGGCAGAGATATTGTGGGGTTTCATGGCTGCCCTCAGCTGAAGTAGTCTTAAAGTTGTGTTAACAGCTGTTGGAGGGAGATACTGCAAAAAACAGAAATTCACCATCTACATTTGGGAATCAAATAAGACCTTCAATAAACATTTTAAACTATTATTTTTGATTTTTATTATTTTTAGAGATTTTTTAGAGAGTCCTACCTGGAAGTAAAGAATCTCTCTGACCCACAAAGTGGAAACTATTATATGATTCATCATTACACCCTGAGTGACAATTTCAGAGTAAACACTGACACTATACAGTAGAGGAAGGATATTATAACCTGCAGGTCCCTGACATGTAATCTTATTTCATCAGAATGAAAATCAGTGCTCATTTCATCTGTGTTCCATAAAAATATATATATACCTACAGACTTAAGTTTAAACATGTGAGGCATTTTGTACAGTTTCCAGGTTCTGTTGAATACTTTTGTTATTGCTAACATAAAATTATTCAAGAACCACAGCGAATCCCAAAACAAATAAGAGGGTTGTGGTTAGTTGTGTCCAGACCCTTAGAAAATCATGACCCTTTAAAAACCCTTAACAAGCCATGGGCTCGTCAGCAGGCCCAAAGCTCCATTAATTTGCAGTCCCTGTAGCTACTCAATAATAAGCCTGGAATATTACAAGGTTAAACAGAATATCTAATAGGAACAGTAGTACTGTTATTATATTGGTCTATATTTTCCCCTCAAAAGTGACCATTTCAGTAAAAAACCATGAACAGACTTTAGTATTAGCATTAGTCTGTTAGTGCACTGTGTGGATCCACCACCATCTCATTTCTTTTAAATTGCTTTCATTAGACTAGAAACAAACAGCATCGCAGAATGTAGTCTTCGCAGAGTGGAGTGTAAAATGCCCATTCAGTAGCGGAACATCAGAGTGGGAAGACCCCCAACATGGAACAATGTTCTGGAGCTAAAGCCTTCACACTAATCAGTGGAGAGAACCAGTGAAAGGCTGGATTAGGCCTGGAAGCTGTCTGCACTGATCTGATATTTAGTGTGGCCAGCTCGCCACGGTTAAGACAGGCCATGATGATGAGTAGTCGGTAAAGAGACACAGAGATAGAGAGAAAGAGAGAGAGAGTACCGGAGGCACTGCAGAGCAGTTCCTTTCGCTGCCTGCCCCTCCCTCAGCATGTGCTGCATGCCTTTCTCCTGTGATGAAAAGAGGAGAAACACACCAGGGACAGGACTTAGAGACAGCGCAACAGTATCAGTGTTTTCAGTGCTTTTTCAGTAGATGTCAAGAACGGGAGTGAATCCTCTGTAGCTGCTGTGTCCTGATGAGGTACAGTGGGTGGGCTGCAGTTACATTTCCATAAAAACTTGACAACAGTGTTCACAATAAATTTCTAAAGAGGACCAAATTTAATCTATGTAGGCTTTAGCCTATTTTTATTTAATCTGCATGCAAATTACTGCTCATTTTTCCTCAAACATGCAAATCGCTTTACTATCCAAACTGGTTGTCCTAACAGACATTCTAGATATCTAGAGAAAAAAGGCATACTTTCACTAGGCTTCCATATGTTTTGTATTTCTTATTATTTTTAGCCATAACCAAGATATCCTGAGGGAAACCAGGGTTATGGCTAAAGGGCATCTACATAAAATGTCATTCTATCATTACATTTTCCTTATTTCTTATTATGCTTAGCTATAGCCAAGACATACTGAGCAAAAAAATACAGGCATCTAGCGAAAGTGACATACATTCACTACATTTTCCTTATTGTCTTTAATTCTAGGCCATAATTAAGCATGTTGATGACTACACAAAGCTGCAATTTAAACCAGCAGGGAGCACCAGTGGCTTGAAGTCCAGCGAGTCACAGTGTCCCACTCTGACAGCTGCAGAGTTACTCCCAGTCATTAATTACACACAGACCGACACGGTAGATTGAGCCAAGCACATGTCATGGCATAAGAGAAAACACAATCTTGCACATACATGTAAGCACAACCTACAGTCTTGTAAGAAAAAATATGTCAAGCTAGTAAATAAATATCTACCAGCATGCGTACCAATTAGCTTTGAGCGCTGCTGAATAAATCTTCTGCTTAATGGCATGCAAATATATTTTCTTTGAATAAACCACCAGATATGACACAAAACAACAGATGGAGAATTTGAGTGGTGCCTTAATGAAAGCCTTATCCATACTGTGTAGGACTTTTGCTAGCATAATCATGCAAAGATCATTAAAAAACTGCAATTATGCAAACTTTTTTCTCCTTTTTTTACCTTCAAGAGCCACAAGACAGAGAGCCAGAATCCACCCAGAGAAGGTCATTTTGGACCATCTGCTCCAAGCAAATCCACACACAGAGAGGCAGCGGGGCAGGTGTGTGTGTCACTGTGAGTGTATGTGTATATATATATGCAATATCTGACACCACTATCTGAGCTTGGAGGCGTTCTCTGATCAGAATAATACGCAATAGATGAGGGGGCGGAACTTTGGCTCCTTACTCTTGCAATAAAAAGCATGCTTGCTCTTGCAAGAAGGTGCTTTTTTTGCGGACATTTACAATCTCTCTCTCTCTCTCTATGCTGCCCAATTTAATGGCGCCCTCACCCTAGGGGCTTAGCAAAAGCATCTGCAAGTCACGAAGTGAATTCTAGTCAGGCTCTTGTTACATTATACAGGCAAGCAAAAGCTCTAGCACCTCACGACACATGTCCTATACATTCACACTTAAGGCTTTCTTCTACCAGACAATGTACCTGTCAGCCTTTGCAGTGAGTTAATGTATGAACCCAGGGATACAGAACTACTACGTCCAGTCACACGAATACCACCGTCATGATTTGACTACATTTCATAAGAGGCTCTCTCTTATTAACTGATGGACTGAATCTGCAGTATAGCAAATATAGCATAGAAAACTGACGGAACAAAAGGTGCTCCAAAACATCAATTACTCAGGGAAGGATCTAATATTTTGCTTGTATATTTTATGCGGACACCAACAACTTTGATTTCATTTTTTACCCCCTTTCCGCTTATAAAGACATAGAGGACATTTATGTATAAATACATTTATGGGGCAGATTTGCTAAACAAAGTGCTAGTTACCAACAGCCTAAAGACACTTTGTGCTAGTGAGCATGACCAACTTAGCAGCTTATATACTAAATCAAATCAAATTAAATCACGTTTATTGTCACATCACATTTACACAGGTGCGAAGGTGAGTGAAAATGCGTAGCCCCCTTGTAGAATTTAAATACAAAAAAATATATACAAAAAGAAAAACAAGAAATATATATAATATATATAAACACAGACTCTAAATATATACACTTATACACAATATACACTACTTTTGCACTATTTCCAATGTACAGTTGTACAGTAATAAGTTATGAAATAAACCTTATTGAAATGAAATAAAACTATGATATGTACTTTTGTACACATTTCTGTATGTGCAGTTAGTGAGTCTGAGGTAGATAAATAAATGAGATGCAGGTACGCAGGAGATAGAATATTGATATAGAAACCTTCTAGATTATACAAGATATGGATAGAAGATGTACAAGATGTCAATCTATACGTGTAAGTAGAGATTTGCTACATTGAAGGTGCAGTAAGATCAGAGTAAGTGTGTTGAGATGTGGATGAGGTGTGGATTGTCCATGGAGATCATCTTGATGATGATTCAGAGGTGCAGTGACAGACCCACTGACCGATACACCAGCACTACTGGCTGTTCATCAGCCTGATGGCCCGGGGGAAGAAACTGTCTCAGAACCGGCTGGTTCTGGACCTTATGCTTCTGTACCTCCTCCCGCTTGGCAGCTGTGAGAACAGACAGTGGCTTGGGTGGATGGAGTCCTTTAGAATCCTCCTGGTCTTCCTCAGGCAGCGGCTGGTGTATAAATCCAGGAGGTTTGGGAGCTGGACTCCGGTGATGTGCTGGACTGTCTGAACCCCCTCTGCATAGCTTTCCACGCAAATGAACACAGGTCGAAATTACAAAAATGTCAAGCTCAGCGTACCCCCTCCCCCCCCCCGCCATACGGCTGATATGCTTTTTGTATGAAAGCCTGTTTTCACTGTTTTTTTATCCTTCTCTGATTCATTAGGTATAATAATGCCTTATTTTCCTGAGATCTTTAAATTTGTAAGTCAAAACAATGACTAAGTTGAAAAAAAAAATAGTTATCGAGAAAGCACATGATTATTTTGACATCAGGAGTAATTACAAGAGGTTATTTCGAAATAATATATCAGAAAGTCAAGAAAATAAGTATTTACAGTGCATCGAACGCTGTAATATTTTCTTTGTCTCTGAGGAAAGTGGCAGCCATTTTCATGGCGAAAAAGACAGCTTTTCACAGGTGTTAAACAGGGCACTGGAAGGGTTCAGCTGGAAATGGGGTGCATGTGATCTGAACATCTGGTTCTTGCACAAAATGTAGAAGTAGGTTGCAGAAGTTCAACCTGAAGACAGCGAGGACATCAAATCAAAGATCAGGTCCTCTTGACTCTGCTAATGATTAACAGTGTTGCATCAGAGCATTGTTAGTACCCTTAGCACCAAATATGGAGTATAATTTGAACCAACAAATTTGGCAAGCATTCCCATGCATCCCACAGGAATATCCCATGGACATATTATTGCAGAGTGGGAATTTCCCAAGTAAAGTACTTGTTTGCAGATATAAATATGCCCGAGGTCGGACAGGGACTTTCTGAACCAATTGCGAAATGTGTGATCGCTAGTATTGCTGGAATGAAAGACAATCTTAAATCTGATTGTATGTACTGTATTTGTTGCTCTTCATAACATAAGATCCTTATCCTTAAGCTTATTTTAGGTTGGAAATGCAGAATTATTTACCTATCGATTGGTGGAGAATGCACACAGTTAAATGACACCTATTGCATGAATTGTCATTTAAGCCGCGGAAGGAGTTGCAGTTGGCTATGGCTGTGATTTGTCAACAGAAAGCTAGCCTAAGTTTGGGGGACAGGATAGAGGATAGAGAGATGAGTTTGCTCTTAGCCCCAGTAAAAGAAAAAAGGGCTTGCCGATCCCTCAAGCGTGGGACTCTTAGGGGTTGTTTGAGGTGGCCGAATTGACTGTGCTGTGGTTAAATGCTGGACAACTGCATACGGCCTGAGAAGAGTACTAGGAGTGGTTTTGCGCTTGTCTGTGTGAGAAGAGAACATAATAATAGTAAAATAATAAAAATTTACTTTTGAATAAAGAAAGTCAATATGTTTAGCAGGCAAAAAGCAGTCAAACTGATAAGCAAATCACAACTTTAGATTTGTTTACTCAAACGTTAGAAAATGCAGAAATTTGAAAAGCTATGGTTAAGACAGGATTTAAAGAAAGTGAGTTTGTTAAGGGTCAGTGTAAATGGTTGTGTGGGAAATCTCAGGAAAACAGTGGAAAATATGTTACAATTGCTTGCTTATTGTGGATTAAAGAGGATTAAACTCGCAGAGAAAGCGATCCTGGTCCAGGTTAAGACTTCCCTCTGCAAAGCGTATAGATTGGAGGAGCCCTCGTTAGGTGAGTGCTCACAGCTGGCTGGAACAGAATAACGGAAGTGGCCTTAACAATGGCTGAGATACAAGTGATGACTGCTACTGATACTGAGTCCAGTGATGCAGCAGCTCTGCTTCCCTACAACACTCCTAACATGGACACCTCACACTTACACCATCCAACTGCTTATGCAGACACAGAAAGAAAAGACACCTACGGCCTACCCAGTCTGACCTGGGCAGAATCCAACAGCTGCTGACACTGGAGGGAATCCTGGGATTTGGGTTGGATTTAGTCTGAAAGAATGAATAGCTTTGAGGTCCAGTTTAATGAAAGAAAAAGGGCCATCTTCGACGTGCCTAAAACTAGACAGGTTTAAGGCAAGACCTTGGCCTGTGGTAGAACTTCTGTACATGGATTCACTGAGCTCACCAGAACATTGAATGACATGTTAAAAGGGGTTGAGACCAGAATGGACTAATAAAGACCAAGCTCACTGAATTGATATCACAGAATTATGAGTGGTATGTCAACCAGAAGAAGAATCTAGAAAAGCATCAAAGACTCCAGAACATAAGTTGAACATCATTAGTGCCAGCAGTCCTGATGGGCCTAAGGGCAGCCACACACAAATCAAATTAATGACAGGTAGGGCAATGATACTAGCATTAGCCCAAGGTCATATAGCAGACGTTTGTACAGGGTTATTTTATGAGGATCTGAGACAATACCTGAAGGTTCTGAGTGATTCAGGATAAAGAGCACTATATGTGGGAACACTTGGAGAGCAATGCAGATGCCACAAGTCAAGGAACACAGTTAGGCAATATTGAAATTAGTTCTATGGATATGATGTGTAAACTGTTCACTGATGCATAACAGTCTAAGTGAAAAGGCCTGTTTCTTTTCACCTGCTGCTTGTCTTGATACTCCCAGTGGTCTTCAGTGGAGGCATAAGTCCCAACTTAACTCTCTGGAGTCTAAGGGCATTTTTTCAATTTTGTATATCTTTTTAAATTCTCCTTTAAAGCCACTTGCATTTAACATGATACCTATGTTTCATATCAAAATGCTCTGTTATCTTCATCGCTACTTTCCAAAACCACTGCAGCAACTTTAGGAGCTGCAAACTCTTTGCACACCATTTCACATGTGTCTCGAATGTGGACAGAATGAAGGGTGAAGAGTGTCCATTGGTCAGTTTCACACAAAAAGGAGGCAGACACACAAATCCACCAATTATACAAGGTGAGAAGCAGATGACGTGACTCTTCAAAATTGCGAACAAGAAGAAAACTGTTCAAACACTCTGACTAACAACCTTTGTTTTAACTTTAGAGATGGTTGTAGTCATTTCAAGTATAATTCATCAAGTCTTTTTACCACATAATTTAGGTTCACCGTTTTTAAATGTTGGTAACCTGTAGTTGTCTCATGCGGTAGAAATCCTGTTGATGGTAATGCAAACAAAATAACAACTGAATATTTTACTTATGATCAAGAACTTCCATTGTGCAATACTTCCTACACCAAAGTATGTACTCTGAATCCTTAGTGTTGAAATTAACTGCTACACAAACAGTAACTAATAACAAGGTTAAAATTCGATTGGCCATAATATCTTCCTCTTCCTCTGAGAAGCTCACACACTGTCTACTGATTGTGTCGTTGGAGTTCTTAATATTGCCTTTCTCAAAGAACTTCTCCTTAAATCAAAGCCACTTCAATTACCACTGCCTTATGCAGGCGTATAACCAACCCAGACCATGAAACTGAACAATGAGTAGTGTTGATTTGTAGACACAATACAGCCAAAACTGACAAAATATGGTATACTTATATTCCTAAAAGGCAATATGAGGCTATTCCTT